TGACAACCTTTAATACTTAAGGGTTGCTAGAGGCTCTAAGGTTATTGCCAGGTTGATAGCTAGTTCACGTGGGGGTAAAAAGCTATTGTACGTGTGTATTTATGTGTTATAGTTAGGTTTTTAATATCACAATATTGAGGTGCTTATAGCCACCCAAGGTCTGGATTTATGATTTCTTGGAATATAACAACTACTTTGAGAATAAGTAGTTGATTCCATGAAATTCAAGAACTAGAGTTAATTCCCACGACTCCCTATGTGCCATATGTTGACCTAATACATGTACCTGCAGGATCAATATTATATACAGAAACAAGAAATACCAGAGCAATGTTTCATGGTAAATGTGCCATATCCAAAAAAGGACGCATAAACTAAAAAAGGGACAATCTGGGAAGGGCAATGGGAGAAGCGTAGGTATTTTCCAAACCCACATGACTCCTCCCAATTACACCACTACAGTCCCTAAATCATAAGGGCTTGTAGAGGCGAAAGTGTTTTAGTTACGTACTCATCTTTGGGATTTTCGTAGGAGCCTTATCGAAGCTTTACTCATAACTTAAGTTCTCGAGACTTAATTCAGACTTCTTTAAGAGACTTAGGCGAGTTCCTCAAGCAAGACTTAGTTGAGTCTTCCTTATGATACTTAATTGTGTCCTACAGAAAAGACATAGATAAATCTTCTTGATGAGACTTTGCGGAGTCCGTCAGGAGAGACTTAGCTGTGTTTTTTTTTATGATTCTTTGTTTAGTCGTTTAAGAGAGACTTATGTAAGTCTTCCTGACGATACTTAATTGATTCCTTCAGGCGAGACATTAACTTAAGTCCCTCAAATGGAAAGTTCCTCAAGTGTTGCTTGGGGCAAGGATCTTCCAGTGGAAATCCAATAATGTATTACCCCGTAGGGCGGTAAGGATATTCCAATAGATGTCCAACAATGTATTACCCTATAAGGAGGAATTGATCTTTCAATGGAAGTTTAATGTTTTACCTTGTAGGGCGTCGAGGATTTTCATTCAAAGCCCGACAATGTATTATCTCATTTGGCAGCAAGGAAATTTCATTGAAAGTCCATCATCTTCCATGACATGTAGGTTTTTATGGAGTTTCACATATATCCTACATAACTTCTACACCTATATTAAATTAGACTAGGAGGGGCCTCCTTAAAAGACCACTGCCCACACAGGGAAAACAAGCGACACCCATTATTAAAGTGAGTTTTAAATAGTTCTTAAAGGTGTTTACAAATTGAATAGGAATTATCTCACTTAATCCAACAATAAAAATGGTTTATTAAAGCATAAATTCTCATTTGTCCAGTCTACTGTTTTGGCCAAAGATCTCACTTGATAAATCCATGTCCTCAAGATTAGTCTCTTCGGCTCATATTTTGATACTCATGATGTAGTGTGGCATATCCTAGATGTTGTTTGCACCAAACTAGGTTACCAAGTCTCTTGTGTTCTTTATTGTTTTTACTTTGATTCTATGTTACTGTCATATTGTGCTAAAACTGATTTAATAAGTTGGACAAGTTGTCCTAGACATGTGGTCCAACATCCGTCCCCTGAGGAATAGAATTTCAACGTACTTATTTCAACAAAAACAACAATATATAACATTTAATCTCAGTCTAAACAACAACAACAACAATAACAACAACAACAACATCAAATCTCTAGGATATGAGTTCTCAACAAAAATAACATTAACAACAACTTAAATGTAACACTAGTAATGATGTTTCACAAATAGGATATGTGAAGAATAAGTCAAAGAAATTATTTGGGTCTTTCCTTCTACCAAGTACTAAACAAAAGTCCTAAACATATGTCATATTCGTATTTCCTTGCTTTTTTATGAGTTGAAGAAGATATAGATATGAAGTTATGATATGATGGTGAACGATTTGAGGCGAGTAAGTTTTTTAACACTCTCAATGTTAATGGAGATGATAAACTTTGTTAGGGTTCTGGGTGTGTTGTTTTAGGCAAGAGAAACTGAAAAGACCTAAAAGCTAAGTTTTATATATAAAACCTATTTCACCACAACTATTGGAAATCATAAACGAGGTGAATATGGCTTATTTTTTATTTAAAAATAAAATATGAAGGAAGGCGCGCCATAGTAAAATGAAATAAATCATTAAAAAGAAATAAAAATATATATTACAGTTGTTAGGATTCAAAGTGTGTCCTTGAGTTAGTTTTCCCGCTGGATTCCTATTCCAACAGAGGCAATGTATGGTATTTTCTTTAAAAACTTTAAAACATGGCGCACCAAATAATTATACCTCAGTTATTTATTGGCTGAGATGAAAGCTTTGTCATAAAACGTATTAGTTTTTGCATTGCATGATCTATGTGGTTTTAGTGCTGAAAACGCCAATGTCAAGCGGCGTTCAGTGTAGTCCTTCAGAATCTCTAATCAAGAAACGTCTGATGATGGTGTCTATAAAAGAAGTCAAATCAATCATATGCCTATTTGATTACTAGTTTGGTTAAACCCTAACCAGTGTCCTATAGACTAGATAATCAATTAATACATTATGGATAATCAATTAACTCATTTGTAACACCTTCTATTCGTTTGAATGGGATTTTAATCAATTGCTAACTACAAATTTGATAATGTTCCATATTTTGTGTATGTAATCGATAAACCTTATATCATAATTGATAAAAATGCATTAAAAATATCATTGATTACTTTAATTTATTTTTGAACTACATTTTTTCCTATAAATAAAAGACTTATCCTCATTCAAAAGCACGTCATATTTTTCTTTTTAAATCTCTTCTTTCTCACTTTCTACTTTTTTCCCCATTATTTCCCTAAAATTGCCTTATTGTCTTCTAAGTGAGGAATATTTACGAGAGTATGGTTGTACTGGAGTTCGTGCTTAAGTCTTCTTCATCAAAAGTGTGAGTTTCTTGTTTTTTCTATGGTTCTTGAGATTCTCCTGGTAACGTATTTGTTTTGTTATTTGGATTGTCTAGGTAAAATTTATGTTTGGTTCTTGAGTTAGGTGATAAAATCTCTATTTGGTTTTTGAGCTAAGCCATCAAAAGGTACATTTGGTTTAGGGGATCAGCCTGGCTAAGATATCTCATCTTTTGTAATAAAATTTATGGGCATATCCTTAAAATCTTAAGACATTTTATTTGTGGAACTCTTAAGAAAAAATTTCTAAGGACATGTGTATGCCAAGTGGTTGGACCGAACTTGTATAAATCCTGGTACAATATCTCTTTATTTTCAACCATTTAGTTTCTTTATTCTTCTCTATAGAGATAAGTGGATTTGGAAGCATGCTCGTGAGGATGATTTTTCAGTGGCCTCCGCTTAGCTTTCAAAAAAGGTTAGTTTGATCTCTTCTTTGGTCCCTAATCTGGTAGAGAGTGGGATCCTTCACCTTAAATTGGTTAGTTGGTCTCCTTCTAGGATATTAGTATTCTCTAGACAACTATTAAAAGATAAACTCTCATATAAAGAAAACTTGTTTAAAAGAGAGGTGATTTTCTATTTTATTAAGATTTCTTGTCCCTTGTATAAGTATTTGGTTGAGACGTTCCCATCTCTTTATACTTGTGAGCTAACCTTGTAAGTTTGGTATATAATTTTTAAGTGGTTGAGGTGGAAGATAATTATTACTAATGATCTAAATGTTTATTTTTAGTCTTTTCTTTCTTTAGTTGTGAGGGTTAAGTGTATGTGTCGTTATCTTTTAATTTGACATGCCGTTGTCTAATCTATTTGAAAAGCCTGCAATTATGTCATTGTGAGATATACAATCAACAAAAGAAGTAGGGGAGGGGAGTTTTTTTATCCTAGAAATGGTTTATGGGTAGATAAATGATAACCTCTAGCACCTTCACTAATTAGCTTTAGAATTTTATCATGTAAATGTACTATAGGGGATCAAGTGTTTGTCTTATCTCTGAAATAGATTTTGGTGTTTTGTTGTTATTGATGCCTTTTAATGAGATATAATTTGTTGAAAGTGAATCTAACGATTAGTGATGAAACTTATTTCCAACAAGGTATTTTTTTAATAGCTCAGATCTTGTGCTTGTTGGATAATTTCAGTTGTTCTTTTGTAGCATCACTTTGGATTGTTTTTTTTAGCACACTTCTCATGCTTTGTGATTTTTTTTTTGTACGTTAGTGATTTTTCACTTTTTTTTAATAAATTTTTATTTTTCATTAATAAAAAAAAACTCTAACTTTTGTTAATTGCATGCAAAACACAAATATAAAAGTAACAAATGTCGTTGAAATTTTACGGAATCATTAGTGTGAGAAGCTATCAAATTTTTTTTATTTGTCTAAATATTTTTTCCCAACATAAAGTCATATAAACATATTCATACCAATCAAGAATACCCTACAAGGGTAATCTGCGTGCTTTTGAGTTAGTTTCGGGTTTGAAAGTTAATTTTCTTAAGAGTAGTTTGTTTGGTGTCAATATGCCTGTCAGTTATGCTGATGCCGCGATTGATCTCCGCATGACTGGGCCTTTGCTTGCATAATAGGAATACCTGTCACGAGTACTTCCTTGCTGCACAAAGATTTTTCAAGCTGAAGACGGAGAAGGTTTCAGGCATGATTATTTGGGCTGCTACTGTTTGGCATATCTGGAATCGTCGTAACCATTTAATCTTTAATCATTCTCGCTTCAAAGTGGAAGAATTCGTTAGTTCTATTAAATCCTCTTCTTAGTTCTAGTTTGGTAAGGCTCTTAACCAATTTTCTGTTTGTTCCTTTGTCGATTGGTGCAATTTTTCTATTAAAAAAAAGAAAGAATGACCCTATAACTCAATGATAACCAGCTGTGTTCATTTATAATGCAACTCTTACACATACGTACCCTTACATGCAATAAAATCTAAAACTTCAAACTCCATTTTTAAATGTAGTCAATGATTTAGAAGTTGAGAGCAATTGATATCTTTGCGTCTAGTTTATAGAGCTAGGTTTATCCACCATCGCCCTCTTAATCAACTCCGGGGAAGATTATGATGTTTCTACGGCCGCCTTTTCCAACTTCTGGCAAGTTTATGACCTTTCCACCGTAGCCCCATCTTCCACCACTGGGAAATTTTACAACATTTCCAGCACCGGGAAATTTTACAACATTTCCAGCACCGTCCTCTTTTCGACCTTCAAGAAAGCTTATGATTCTAATATCTTTACCTTTGCCAAGATTGTGTAAATATCCATTAATTCTAATATCTTTCTTTGGTTCTTTGGTTTCACCATCTACAAATAAACAAAAACTTATTAAATATAAATGAAGAAAAACAATTGTGAATATATGAAAGATATTTATATAGATACATTGTTTCTCATCTTCGAAAGGCGTAATTGTTACAACAAAGACGAGAAGAAGTGCATAGAAGCATAAGAAGATAGATAACTTGGTTTCCATCGTTCCTTGTAAAATATGAGGAATATAACAACAAATATATTTATAATGAGATAAGATAAATGTAGGAAGAAGAAAAAGAGGCAACAGAAATAATATAATAGATATTGTGCAACAAAACGTAGAGCTTAATGTTTGGGTAGCTCATAGGACAACGGGTCATTCAAAATCTATTGAGCCATGAAAGGCTAAAGTGTGTAATATTTTTTAAATGAGGTGAGAAAGATTTTCACACAAGGACAACTATAAGTGTTGGATTAGTTTATTAATCGATCCAATGTGGGTGGTAAACAAAATTTTGGGTATAAAAAATCATAAAAGTGATGATTGTTTGAGTTTGATGGATAATTAAGACATTACAGTCTTTATTTTAAAATTTAAAATAAAATTTAAATCTCTCATCTCAAATTTCATGATTATTGGGACATGATTCTTGAAAATGAGATTTGTCTATTGGAATAAAATGCCTATAAAATTACACCTTTAAAAAAACAACAATATAGAGTTTTTCTAATTCTTTCTATTTCTTAAAAATCAAAATAATACAGTATTTTCTGTTGGAACCAATAAAACAATTAGGATTTAAAGAAGAAGAGAGAAAAGACATAATATTATTGAGTAAACCTGAAGTAATTACAATAAATTTGTTTTTTGAAAACTACAAAGGTATCTATATATAGGCAACCAAAACCCAAACCCAAAATATATAGTTAAAGCCAACTTCAACATAAGAGCTATATGTTGTATTCGACTCTTATGAATACAATTGACTCTACAGCCACAACGACTAGTTTACACAACCTTGTCGGACACAAACTATACTTCATACTTCGAAGAGGTTAGACACTCCAAATAATGGGATTTAGTTGTCAGTGGGATTTTTTAGTGCCGTTTGATTTATAACTGTATTGTTGGGAGGTTGTTAATATGAATAGATGTGGGTTTGAATCAGTGCAAGAATTATTGCGAGGAGGTTATTTAAACAATTGCACGCATTCAGATTATAAAAGTCAGGTTTACTCGAGATACGATTTGGAATTTAAACGTAGAATAAAATTCAGTTTGCTAAGAAATTGGATTTATTTATTTATTTTATTCAAGGCCATATCCACCAATTCTTGTTACCGAGTACGAGTTAATTTTTGAAGGTTCAGTTGAATTCCGAATTTGTGTTGGACGTCAGTTAATTCTAAGTAATTGCAAGCAGTTAAGTTTCGAATTCGGATTGTGAAATGTCAAGTTTATTCAAAAAGAGATACAGATGGATCTTATTCGGAAAATAAGAATTGAATTTATTTATTTTTCAATTTTCGTACAATTCTTGATTACAACATTATTCAAGATTTTTACATTTTTTTTGAAGATTACAAGTAAAGTCCTAAAGTTCTAGTTCCTCTGAGCTTCTGCTTCCCAATCTCCGATTCAAGTCTTCATCTTCGAATCTCCGAACCTGCAAAAAACCAGAGAAAAATCATTATCAGTGGATTTAATTTTTTGTATCGAAAGTGGCTTTTTTATTTCGTCCCGAAGCCCTCAGTAATTTATCATCATCGGGCATTTCGGGAGGGCAACAAGAATTTCGTCGCCAACTCCGATTCCATTTTTCAACCTCGGCAATTTCTGTTCAATTTTCCGAGAGAGAGAAAAGCGCTTTTGTGAAAAAAGTGATTTTGCAGCCAAACGGATCCTTAAGGAAAAACAGATCCAAAATCATAATCGGATCCACATCCAAATCCATAACAAAAAATCCAGATCCGAAATAATCCAACGAAAATCCGCGGATCCATCATCACCAAAACGGGACAAATCAGAAACAAAAATGAAAATCCAACTGTTCCCAAAACAAAATCAATCTCAGATTTTCATCATCAAAAAAACGTAAAAGAAAAATCTAGGCCTATGAAAGAGGATTAAAGACAGTATATAAAACAGAGTTCAGAAGAGATCAAAAGGGGGACGAAATTGAAGAATCCTAAAAAGGTTCATCACCAAGAACCAAAACGGCCGTAAAACCATCAAGCAGACCCGCGACAAATCAAAATCGAAAATCCACGACCTCAGTTTATAACATCACGGGCCGGAGAAAACGCAACAAAACTGCAACCGTAAACCGTCATCATCAATCCGTCGCGAGCCACAACACAAGAACGGACGAAGCAACAGTCCTTAGAGAATATCATCAAACATCCACGGCCGCAAACTGGAAGCATAACCATCATCATCACGAAAAATTTCATCAGAGAAACCACCAAAATCCAAAACCGTCATCCAACTGGACTCGGAGAAGCGAAGCTTTTCATCATCGTCACAGAACCCACAACCATGGCCACCGTCGTAACCCCCACACGACCGTAAATAAAGCGGAAATCACAAAACTCAGGATCTCCCACGAGATCATAAAACCGGCTCAGTTTATTCCATCATCGCCGTAAGCATTAGTAGCACTCTCGGTTTTTCTCTGTTTTTCTTTTCATGTATTTTTCAGGAAAGGAAGAAGGAGAACAAGAAGCGTGTCGCGGCGGAAAAAGAGTGAATAAAGAAGCAAGAGAGGAGGCGGCCGGGAAAGAAGATGAGATGGAGAGAAGGACGTGCAGAGGAGAAGAGAAAGAAAGCAGTCAAGAAGAGAAAGAAAGTTTTCTGAGCAGGCCAACAATGGAGTCCGCCGCAGCAAGCAATATGGTTTCAAACTCTAATTGCATCCCATCTCCCCTTTTTATGTCACCTAACTGGGTCGAGTCTGGGGCCTGACCACCCAGCTGGACCCGTTTTCCTTTATTTATTTATTTTTTATTATTATTTATTAGTTACTTTATCTTTTCTTTCTTTTCTTTCTAAATTAAACTAACTAGTTTTTTATGTAATTAATTTTAAACCTTTTAATAAAATTTTAACTTAATTTCTAACTATTTTAATTGATCCAACCTTAAAATAAAACTAAAATTTTTTAAATTAAAATTAATTTTTTTAAAAACTAATTAACTTTTTCTTAATTTAAAAACTAACACTTTTTTGTATTAAATAAAATCGACCTTTCTAATAAAAATGTTTTTTTTTGTAAATTAAAACTTCTATTTCCTTTTAAAATTTTAAATTTAACTTTATTAAAAAAAAATCCAACACTATTTCTAACTTAATAATTAACTTTTTTTTAATTAAATCTCTAACATTTAAATTTAAATCTATTTCTATTTTACCTAAAAATTTCTAACACAATCTTTTATTTATTTATTTAAAAACTCTAACATTTTTATTTTAATTATAATTTAAAAATTTCTAACACTTAATTTCTAACTTTTTCATAAAAATTAAATCTTTCTATTCTACCATGTCTTCTAATTTAACATTAACCTAAATTCCTAACCTTCTTAAATTAATGGCCTAAAATCCTAGTCTCTTCCCGATTAATGTGGTTTCTGTCTAACTTTTATAGCATTCCTAAAGTTGTACTAGATTGTCCGTGAATATGTTCACTAATCTTCTATTTTTGTATATATTTTTTATTGTACATTATTTAACATTTGTTCTTATCCTATCATTCACACTTGTATATTATTTCAACATCGTGTTGCACCCCAAAATTTGACCAACCGGTTCCCATATCTGGTTTATGGTTCGACGCATTTTGCATTCGCTTTCGCATACCGCATACAGTGCATTTCTCCAATCATAGTTATTTTATCGGGATTACAGCCTTTTTTCACATTTCGAGCGTTTCAGACCGATTCGGATAATCGGAGGTTATTTTTGAGAGTCGTGCGCTTCCTGGGTAGTCTCAGCTCGCGCTGTGGTTGTCGAGGACATTCCGGTGTCCGGGTTTTTGCCGTTGGTGCCGCTTTGGTCTCGTGTTCTCTTTTTCATTGCATTAATTGCCTTTATTCGCTTTTTAGGGTTTAATGGTCTTTTTTTCTATTTTTTAAATAGAATTTTAAAAGAGGTTTTAGGGTAGCAATTTAATAGGTTAATTAGATTTTTAGAATATAATAGATTTTATTAGGTTTTATTAGATTAATAGAATATTGTTTTTTAATAGGATTTTAGAATAATATAGAGTTTAGTTTTTAATATAGAAATTAATAGCTTTTCTTTTTTATAGAAATTAAATAGTTTTCCTTTTAATAGAATTATAATATAGTTTCTTAGAATTTAATTAGAGTTTATAGAATATAATAGATTTTTTAGATATATTTTAATATAGGATTTTATAGCATTTAAATAGTTTCTAGATTAATTAGGTTATTAACTTTCAGTTTAATCTGTTAATCTTCCAATTTCCATTTTATTTCATCATTTCCATTAATCTTCATTAATCCCAATTAATCATTTCAGTATTAATTAGTTAGTTAATCATCCATTCAGTTTTCATTGATCACGTTGCATTATCACGTATTAATCCAGTTAAGCATTTCATTAGTTCAATAATCCATATTAATTCATTCATTATCATTTAAATCATTAGTTCATTTAGTCTGCATAATATTTGGGCCCATTATCCATAGAATCTCCAAAGCCCAGTCCAACACTTGTCAGTATATATGCAATTGCCACGCGTGTAAATGAGAGGAAGCCACCTCATTTCTCACCTCACTCAGAACTTACCACGTCACCTTCCACTCCCCTCTCCCCAGTACACGTGGCTCCCATGCAAGCCACTCCACCACCACGCGTCCAATTCTCCCTATCCCTCTGATTGCAACTTGCCACCTATCACACTTCGCCGGGAACCTTCCTTTGGCCATGCAACCACCCTAACAACCATCATCGGCCACCGCAACCACCCTCCAACTGCCTCCGACCACCACAACACCCACCGGAAACACCATTTTTTCCAGAAAATTCATCCAGCTCCTCTAATCTTCATCCTCTCCGATACAATTCATCAACGAATCTCAACATTTTTCCAGAATCATCATCCGTTCTTCATCCAACACTCTTCAGCAAAGAACATTCAAGAACACTTAATCTTCATGAACCTTTACAGCATTTTTCCAGAAAATCACTTCGAG